CTAGCCCCGCTCGGACGCGCTTCTCTCCAGATACTCCCGGAGCTCCAGCCGCGCGGACCGCCCGCCCTGACTGCTCTGCCCCCAAACTTCAGCTGCAGCTACATTCCAAGCCATCTAATTTATTCCTCAAAACCAGCAACTGAGCCGCGACACTGGGAAGGAGTCCGCGGAGGAGTAAAACAGCAGCAGAGCAAGAAGAGCTCTAGAGAACAGCCTCCCAGGAGCAACAACTCGGCTTCGGGAGTGTAGAAACCAACAAGTGAGAAAAGCGCCGCATTCCCGGGGCGCAGCCGCGGGCGGCGAGAGCAGGCGCAGGAGGAGCCAGCTAGCGCCCCTGAGCCGGGAGCCCCAGTCCCCGAGCCCAAGCCGCGGTCGTTGCGGCTGCTCTGCCCCGGATCCTTCTGTACCGGCTGCGCCGGGCGCTAGGCAGTAGGCTTCGTTTCGCCCTCGTTGCAAGCGGCGTCTGGGAGCAGCCGGTCCCCGGGGAATATGCGGCGCGCTTGGATCCTGCTTACCTTGGGCTTGGTGGCCTGCGTGTCGGCGGAGTCGGTGAGTGGGCCAGGAGGGGGAAGCGCGCGCCGTTTCGGGTGTTCGGGGCCACGGGGAGTCCGCAGCGCCCGCGGGCAATCGGGCAGCGCCTCCTGGGGGAATCCCTATCCCCGCTCCCCACCCGGACCTGGCGCTTGGTCCCCGGGGATCTACTGGGACAAATGCGCTCGCTCCTCCACCACTTTCCCCCTTGCCTTCCCTTCCCGCAGAAAAGCGCTGCTCGCCGGAGTTGCCGCGAGGTCCCCGGGGATGAGGGTGCGAGAATCTCAGTTTTGTCTAACCGCAGAAGCCCGTGGAGTCACTCGCAACTTCGCCCTCGAGGGGTCTTGCTGCCTGGCCCGAGAAGGACCTAGGGAAGGGGTGGGGGGGGCAGAACAGTCGGAGGGCCGGCGAGGGAACCCGTCCCCTCCGCGCGCTGGGCGAGACCCAGGGACAACCTGGAAACTTTGGGGTCCTCTCCTCCACACATCACCCCCCACGCTAGCTTAGCTTTCCTACTCAGTTGAGTGCAAATTCTGGGGAGGTGGGGTTCCGATTTAAGAAACCTGAGAGTGTCCAGGGAGGAAAGTTGCAGAAGTTCTTTTGTTTGATGTTCTCTGTGGCTGGGGCCAGGTAGCAGACACTTCGTGGAAAGGCTACCCCCCCGCTGAGGCCCAGTCCCGGGTCCCGCGAGGTGCGCGGAACGCGCCGGAAAATGCTGGGGCCCGGGGCTCTGGAATCCCAGTCCTGCGGCGACCCCTCCTCCTTGAGGGGCGGAGGGCGGCCCCGCGGGCCCTTAGGGGCAGGAGGACATTTTAATACGGATTACCCTGGAGTGCGGCTTGCCGGACCTGGCCGGGTTGCGAGTGACACCAAGCTCGGCCTCGGGTCGCCTGGCCATCGGGGACCGAGGCTTTCAGCCTGCCACGCTTGTCCTCGCGGGCTCTGGCAGGGGTGCTTCTGAGGGCCGGTGGAGTTTCTTCTCCCGCCCGGGTCGGCTGCGGGCACCCAGCCTCCCTCCGGCCGCGGCAATGGGAACTTGGATTCTCCTCCTTTGGGTCGAGTTTCTGGGGCTGGAGTTTGTTTCCTACGTCGCCCGATGAGCGCCCTCTAAAGGGATCTGCCTCCTGGGCTTTTCTGGTCGGTGGCAGCCCCTACCTGGGCGCCCGGAGCTTTGCCAGGCTGAGGTGGAAGCCTGAGCACCCAGATACTGTCTGCAGCCTCAGTGCGTTCCGGGGCTTCGGTGACGGAGTGCAGCTGTTTTTGACCTTTTTTTTAGCTCCCCATACCTCCTCCTTTTGCCACCTAGTAACTTGTCCAGGGATGGTTTTGTGAATTTTTCCTCCTCGCCTTTGGAGTGTTACTTCCCTCTCCCTTCTCCCTCTTTTTGGAGTTGAAGCAGCAGTTCAGGAGTTGAAAACCTCTTGGGCACTGAGCAGCAGATGGGCGTTTTCCATCAGTGTGGGAGCCGCTGTGTGTGCCAGCAAGGTCCCCAAACGTTACTTGAGATAGAAAAGCAGGTAGAATTGTACACTGTACACAGAAGAGATGAGTATTTGGGTGCTTGGGCTGTAAAACAGAACTGCGAGCCTTATCAGTATTTCTCTTTGGCAAATGATGGGCTAATCCGTTGGGACTGGTAATCTCCCAGCCAGTTATGAACTTTGACTCATTGTACACAAAAAGGAAGAGATTCTCTGTTTATTTCAGGGAAAAAAAAAAAAAAAAAAACAACGTTATTGCTCATCTCGTTGCAAAACAGGGCAAAGGGAGAACTCCCTCTAAAGGTTTTCAAGAGAAGCCTGCCTAAAAGGCTGTACAGGGGTAAGGAAGTCCTTCTTTTGGTCAAATCCTGTTTAGGATTTGCCAGGAAGTGTTTGGGGATTCTCCAGAAAGAATGTCTCTATTTTCTGGTTCTCTGGATTTTTGCATAAATCTGATATTGCTCCTTAAGGAAGCTTTGTGGCTGAACTGTTTTCCTACCTGGTGACACCTTTCCCCTGAACTCTCTTTGTGGATCTAATATTTTTCATTTCCTACCAGGATTAGATGCTTTCCCAGTGAGCTCCTTCACTGTGGTCGATACTCTTTTCAGTAATTGGACTACCATCCAGAAGGGTGATTAGATATTTTTAAAATGTCAATTTGGAGACTCTAGCAGAGAATCTTTGTTAGGCTGTTTCAAAGCCCAGGATGGCCACTAGTCCGTATCAATTACTTTTTAGTTTCTGTTTCATGTATAGCGGCATGAACGTAGGTGAAGTTGATAGACTTAATTTTTTCACAATTAGCTATTACAGCACGTTATTTCCAGTACCTCGTATTTTAATTTGAAAACTGCAGCAGTTTCCTGGGAATTAGAAGTAGTTAGAGGTCTTCCGAGCTTTAAGTCTGTCTTTGTAAAGAGGAAAGGAAAAATGTCTGCAGTTATTGAATTCTTGAGTTTTATACTAAGCACAAGGCAAGGTGAGGGCGAAGAGGTTCTTAGCAATGAAGGCTCAAAGCTATCTGTGAGAAGAAACTGTGGCCCTTCCTTTCTGGATGCTGGAGACAGCAGTGGTGATGCATTCATACTTTGCACCAGCAGGTTAGGGCTTTCGCTGCGGGAACACCATGTGAGGGGAAAGACTGACTGAGTGTGGCGGTAGTGATATGCTGCTGTTTTTCTATCCATTTCTTTTTTTAATGTGACTGTTTATCTTTAGAAATAATATATTGCAGACTGCTATAAACACATAATTGGAACTAGAAATATGTTTAAGAAGAGGAAGTGTTTTGAACTAGTGGAGTTTTATACACATGTTTCAGTGTGTGTAAATTAAAAGAAACTGTCAAGACATTTGGACCCGTGCGTTACCTCTCAGTGCATTATAAAAGGCAGCCTTTGGAAAGTTTGCATTAGAGAGAAAAATAGAATTGGAACCATATAACCTTTTTCAGTTCTTTAAACAAATATATTTTGGCTGCTCTAGTAATGAAACAAATTACTTTTGCTGGGGAATTTTATAGAATTTCTGTTTCTCTTTTAGTTGGGTGTTAGCAGTAGGTAGACATCATTGGAGAAAGATCTTGTAAGATCAGGCTTGTGAAAGATGGTTGTCCTAAAAGGAATTAGAGTTTGCTCTCCAATTCCTGTTCCTGGGGCCTGGTACATCTAGTTTTGAAGGGCTGTGTAACATGATTACTCACGTAGCACCTTGAGTAATCATTAGTTTGGAGAGGATTTCAAAAGATTACCTAGTTTTTTTCCTTGGCAGGACTAATTCCCAAGTCTCCAGAAGCCCTGGGAGACCTGCCTGGTCAGCCACAGGTGGCCTGGAGTCTCCTCAGGTTGGCAAAGCCCTGAGGCTGATCCAGCCACCCAGAATCCCGACAGCTCTGTCATTAAGGTTTATAAGGAGTCTGGTCAAGCCACTGTGCTATTTGGCCTGTCAGCTGGCAGTGATCCAATAGGTGGTATGAGGAATGTCATCTGGGTTTAGATTCTCACAACACAGTCCCTTTTCAACACTGCCAAAAATCAAACTAAATGATCTTGCTCATCATTTCCTTCTTTTTTTATATTAAAATTTGTTTAATGTTTATTTATTTTTGAGAGAGAGAGAGACACACAGAGACAGAGTGTGAGCAGGGGAGGGGCAGAGAGAGAGAGAGAGAGACATAGAATCCGAAGCAGGCTCCAGGCTCTGAGCTGTCAGCACAGAGCCCGACGTGGGGCTCGAACTCAACGAACAGTGAGATCGTGACCTGAGCCAAAGTCAGAGACTTAACTGATTGAGCCACCCAGGTACCCCTCATCATTTCGTTCTTACCATGGAAGAAGACTTGCCATTTCTGCCACCATCAACAGTACACTCCAGTATCTCAAAATCACCTAATTCTTTCATGGCCCAGAAGCCAAAGTAAACTTTTAGAGGAAAAAAAAAAAAAAAAAAAAAAAAAAAAAAAAAACCAAAAAAGCAGGAAGGAATGAGGAAGAGGCTTTGATGAAAATAAGCTAGTCTTATTTACTTTTTTTTAGTTGTGCCAGTACCATCATCTTCATTCTAGGCTTTTGGATTTGAATTTTGAAGACATCCTTGACTCATTCCACTTTGTTGACGTCCATGTCCAGTTGGACGTTAAATCCACCTATGTGGTCATTCCACAAACACTGTTCAGCACCTACTGAATGCCCGAGAGAAAGCACTGAACAAACCAGGCAAACTCCTCTGTGTTCTTGGAGCTCACATTCTAGTGGTCCAGGTAGCTTCCTCTTTAGTTTTGTCTTTCTTGGGACCTGTGCCTTTATGTCAGCAGCTTTTTAGCTGTCCTTCCTGCCCAGATGTTCACCTGCTGTTTGATTTATCCTGTACCATTCTGATGGTGTTCCCATGGTCCTCAAACCTCCGTGTTTCCTTGTTATCATGGCATGGAATCTAACTAAATATCTCTGCCAGGTTTAGAAGATGCTCATAATATTGCTCTTTCCGATTTCTTCCCCCTTGATCACTCCCATCATGTCTCCCAGCACCTGCCCGCTGGCCTCACTGTCATGAACACTCTTGGGACACAGCCACCTCTTTAGTGTTTCTCCTTTAACATTCTGTTGATTCAGACCCAAGCCCCAGATGGCCTTTCATGTTTGAGCTCTTGTTTTTATCTTTCTGTAAACGATACAGCAGGCTAATGATGAGAATCGTTAGAAGCATGTAAAAATACAGATTTCAGGGCTTCATCTCAGACTTACATGATCAGTAGCCTGAAAGGGGGTGGGGTATTTTTTATGAAGCATCTCAGATGATTTTAATGAATCAGCCACATTTGGGAACCACTGGTCTGGGTCACATACTTTTCCCCTTCTTATATGCCATTCTGTGTTGGTTGGTGGGCTCCTGGCAGTATATAGCTGTGTGACCTTGGGAACCACTGTAAACACGAAGGGCTTTGGCATGGGAGGCAGACAAGCTGGGTTCACATGCTGGTACTTTGCCACTTACTATAGTACTTGGACAAGATGCTACAACTCCAAGTCACTTGAA